GGCGATCCAAATTCTTTAAAATCCAAACGAGACGCGTGCAACGCAAAAAGTGTTTGTAAAAACATGATCAGAGATGGGAAAATTGTAAAACTGCAATGTGAATACGACCAGCGAAAGAATGCATTTTATAAGCCGCGAAAGGATGAATTCGGAGTGCAGAACTTGTAAAATTCCAAATGTCGTATTTGGATAACATAATATTGGTCCAGATCTGTGAACATTGTAAAATAGTTAAATTTATAACTGGGGATATTTATGCAAAACAAATGTTTGCGCTAATTACAGAATAACTTGCAGAATAACTCTAATAAATTGCAAGGAATATAATAATATAGATAATAAGATCAGAAGTTTGTTCACAACATGTCCAAACAAAATAGAGAAATCGCAGATGCTCAATAAATTATAAAAATTATGTAACAACAATAAGATTTTTTAACAACAATTTTTTTAATAATGTTCAATCGAAGCACAGTTCGCCGAAACCACCTTTAAAGAATAAATTATTCCATTTCAACCCTTAATAACTGATTAAAAATTCCGAAAAAGTATTCTAATTAAAGCTCATTTGCAGCTTCATTTTCTTTTTAATTAAATCGAAATATCTTAAGTAATTGCCGAGAAAATAAAAGGTTAACTTTCAGTTTTCCAACCCCACGTTTATCCTTATAAAAAGTATGAAATTTTACAAAATTGCGTTATAGACAAAGAAATATTTCGTCCATTGTTTAGCACACCAAAGAATGAAAAATATCGCGACGGTTGATTCCTTAGACTTGTTCCGCTAGACCTCCTCTTTCCAAGACTTTTCGCGTATCTCTACGTAATTCCGCAAATGAAGAAAGTAATTTACAAGGCAACGAAGAAGACGAGGCAGGTGAACGTTTAGCGTCGTTTAGCACAGAAAGTAAATCATTAGCGAGGAGATTATCCTAAAAGTCTATTCCGCATTCGTTTTCGATTTTTTACCGCTTTTGTTGATTGCATTTTCCAATCCGGAATAGAGCGCCGGGCTTATCGATCGCGGCCGACACGCGTAGACCACGTGTAAACGTAATAACGTTGACGAACGACGCGGACATCCGTCAATCAACGTCAAATCGATGCCGGCAGTTTGTCGTCAGGCTGACTCTCCCGTTCGTGTCATTTGTCGCTTTTTAATGCGCAGTGATTTTTCCGGGTCACGCCATTGTCCCGGCGAGGCCGCGCTTCGCAGCGCGAAATGATGCCATGATATTGTCTGTTAGTTGACGGACAGCGATACACAATCGTTTGGACATGTGGCCATCGCGAACGATCCGTTTGATCATCCGAATGCAAGGAATTGTTCCGTCACGCAAAATATTCTTGCCAATTTGATCGTTCAATTTTTCAATTACACGGTGCGCTTTATCGATCCGCCAACGTGGTAACACAGACGAGATTTAAGAATAGACGTAACACCGCAGACGAATTAATAAGTTATCGTTCTATTTTTGAAGATTATCCTTGTCGATTCGACATTTTTCCTCTTTTCGTGGGAAATGACAAGCATAAAAACTATTCTTTAGTCTACTTAAACCATTCTTGTTGTATTGCAACTATTTCGAGGTCTGTTAATTATTATGTAACTTGCTTAAACAATTTATGGTTGAAATAATTGCGGAAGCATTGTTATAAATATTAAGCAGCTAGAAATAACCATTTAATCGATGTGTTCGATGTAACAAATCGACTCGAAGTAATCTTGTGAAATTCAATCATTTTGTTCCGAAATCGAGCTGAGATTTATCGATCTTTCCACAGAATATTGAATTTGCTTACAATTCTAAAAGGGTGTAACGATTTTCATAGAAGAATTCTTTAAAAAAAAACTCTAATTCAACTAATCAATTATTCGTTCGCGATGTTGGAAAGATTTGCAAATTCCGATGTATCATTTTCTTTGTCATTTTCATTCCTTTGTTCGCAAAAAAACGGGGAAAGCAATTAACAATGTTAACTTTCATATCACTCCTTTGAAAGTGTACACGATGTATAAAGTTTCCGGAAAATGTAATAACTTTTATAAATTGCAAAAAGAAGTCACACAAAACTGTTTTAAAAGCTTATATTGCTCAAAGGGCGATGGTTGCTACCTGTAATGAGGTCGATGCCGCTTTAAACGAATGAAAAGAGGAGCAGAAGACGGAATGTTAATTATCCTTTACAATGTCAATTTTTATTATTTTCTAGACACTCGAATTCCATTTTTATGCTGCACTTGTTCGATTGCAGTTTACTGGACTTCCGAAGTGAAAGAAGAAATTGCGAAAGTACGAACAATAAGATTCTGTACGAAAGCATTGTCGAGGATATTTTTCATTTGGACTTACAAGGGGACGCATCTAAGCGATACACGTCGATTTCGATGCAAAACTTTGCAAAAAGGTAATTCATAGAAAAATATTTAACAGTCCCCAAATTTGGGTGTGGAAACTATATTTGCTCAAATAAGCAGTCCGGCTGCAGAACCCGATTTTCAATATCTTAACGTGTTTAACTGATGTATTAGAAAATGACACTTTTTTTGTTAATTTTACCATTCGAATGTTAATCCATTATCTCGAATATTTGTCTGCGAGAAGTATAAACCCAACTGTGAAATACGGATGGAATAGAAGTTCGATTTTCGCATTGTGGAAATTGTTATTTTTAACTAAATTTGTTGGCATTTTCTGTGATACGCAGACCTTAGACGTTCCATTGTTGGTAGTCGTGCGGTGTCATTCGTGGGATACGTTCTCGGCTGGATACGGACCGGTCGTTGCGGGGCTAGACGAATCGGAGGAATAGAAGATTCATCGGGTCGTTCGACGAAATTCACGGTCCGTGCTCTTTTTTGGCGAAAGCGCGGCGACATACTGTAAATGCACCTTATGGATAGTTGTGCATTCTTGGCGCAATGCCAACCGAGTTTCCGGATTACCGCGGGGACGCATCTATATTCATCCGATTAAGGGCTCGGGGCTTTAGCATCGATATGTCGGCATGCAGTTCCGGTAATTAGTCGGGCGTAATTAGCAAGCGAGCAAGCACACGGACGCGGAAAGCTTAAACGAAGAATCGGAGCCAAAATAATTGGCGCGTTGCACTGACCGCTCGTGATTCCATTCGTTCCCGATATCGACTCATTTTAATCGAAGTTAATCCCGCCAATAGAAATGGGGCGGCCTGCCGCGCCGCTCGTGCACTCGATTATGAATTCGTTCTTACTTTGACTTAATTAAATTTTTTATCGACATCTTCTTTTTGGTCGTAATTAATCCAATCCCAAGCACGAGAAGCTGCCGCGTGCGCGCTGCAAATGCAAATTAAACGCGTGGTAGAAGGAATGCCGCGAATCGGCGCGCCGCGGCGCGTTTGTTAGTGCGATCCATAATATAATGCAATTCATTAAAATCATCCTGCTATTTCGCTCGACGGTGTGAAAAGCGAGGAAAAAGTGGGATTCATTGTGTCTCGAATAATTTCCAACGATAGCCGAGGATTCACTTTTGATGCCGCGCCGTCCGGTGTGTATTAAAATGCGAATCGTATACAAATGAGCTTTGTTATGCTGTTATTATTCGGCCAGGTTTGTATTATTGATTACGCGTCCCCGTCCGGAAATTTGCATAGTTGTCTAATTAAATATTTATCGAATAGGGGCACGGCTACCGTAGAGATTTCAATGCGCGGATATCGGGGTTCTTTGCGTCTTTCGCTATTCACTTTTGAGTACGCCGATTTCAATTTACGAACACAATACGAACATGTACTATTGATCTTCGAATTGAAATGGAATTGATTACATTTGTAGCGATTTAATCGTGATCATCAATGAGGGTTTTTTTTTTTAAATAACGGCAATTGTTTCACTTACAAAGATACAAAGTTACTGAAAATCATGATAAATCGTAAGACTGATCGTTCCTTGTTCTGAGTGCAGTAGAACCTCGTTTATCCAAACTTCTGATTAAATACAATTATTATTTATACACGATTACCTACTTTTTGTCTCTGATTGACTGACAGTTACTATATTAATAATATTACGTACATATAATAATTTATTACATTATATATATATACTTACTTTGAATAATTTATTACATTATATATATATATATATATATATATATATATCTGTCTCTTATACACATCTAGATGTGTATAAGAGACAGATATATATATATATATATATCTGTCTCTTATACACATCTAGATGTGTATAAGAGACAGATATATATATATATATATATCTGTCTCTTATACACATCTAGATGTGTATAAGAGACAGATATATATATATATATATATCTGTCTCTTATACACATCTAGATGTGTATAAGAGACAGATATATATATATATATATATCTGTCTCTTATACACATCTAGATGTGTATAAGAGACAGATATATATATATATATATATCTGTCTCTTATACACATCTAGATGTGTATAAGAGACAGATATATATATATATATATATCTGTCTCTTATACACATCTAGATGTGTATAAGAGACAGATATATATATATATATATATCTGTCTCTTATACACATCTAGATGTGTATAAGAGACAGATATATATATATATATATATATATATATATATAATGTAATAAATTATTATATGTACGTAATATTCACTTTATACAACAATTTTCTTTAATAAAAAAGAGATCTTCAGCGTTATTACGCTGCAAATTGGAATAATCTTTAGATTAAACAACTTCCGAAATAATTAACTAAAGTTACGCGGAGAGCTTAAAGTGGCAGTAATGAAGACCTCTCCCGTATCGCTTCGTTTTTTTTTATCAAAAAGCACTCACGAAACGCTCGAAACTATCGAAGCTCGAACCTATCCGCAACGCGGTTGATTCCATCTCTAAAAACACGCGGCCCGGATCTTATTGGAAAGACGAATGTAACAGGATGAAAGCTGTACAAGCGACGTAAGCTGTTCAAGAGATGATGAAAATAGTCGGCTTACCGTTGTGGAAGTAATAAGAGACGTCCATATATTCCTCGTCGGCAGAGCTATTCGGGGCTCGTCTCAGCACGACCGTCATATTTCTGCCGTTGGATGAGTACCTTTTCGGCTCGACGTACCTACGGCAAAAAAGAGAAAAGGAAACGAAAATAGAATCCCGTTTTACGCGGCTGCCTTAGCCAGCCGGCAGTATTTCGGGAGCCGCGAACACCGGGGCATCGAGTCCTGAGGTATCTCCTCGAGGGAAACAGCTCGTTCCCCCCCGAGGCCGGGAGTAAATCAGACACCTGCTATCAGAAACCTCGTAAAGAACTCCGTCCCCCCTCCTTTGGATATTACGGGAGAACATTCCCCGGATTCGGCGCGATCGAAGTATTAAACATGCTCCTCGGTAATGTGCAGCTGCTTCTCGATAATATCGCGCCTCGAGTATTTCTTGGTAACACAGGTTCCGAGACACAACGCCAAGGTCGTAGTTGCCGAGATTTCAACGTTCTCCAACCAACAAATACTAATAATTCCGTTGTTAACCATTTCAAAGTCAATTGAGTAGTAAGATAAATATTAGCTTAACTCCTTTTTACTGTAAAAACCCTAGTAACATTCAGTTTTTGAATATATTACGATGAAAATGAATGTCGAAATCAGGGCCTGAATATAGAATTGTAACTCTAAACTTTTTAAAATATATGTTATTTAGTAACTTTTAACTTCTGAATTATTTCTTTTTCAGTCGGAAGTTAACTTTTACATTAAAGCTCTAATTCTGTTATAAAAGTTCTGAAGAATCCATTCATTTCTGAACAGATTATTTTGTGCGTTTAGATTGGAAGGAAAATCGAGCAAAATGAAGAATAATTATGTAACTACGTAATGACCTTTTTATCAAGATTTTTGACACTTTTGACCAAAAACTGTAAGAAATCTGCAGTTTTCAAAATCTTCTAATACTTGTAGCTTGACACTGGCATTTTTTAAATTTTTGTTATAGGTTTGTATAAAAAAGTTAAAAAACTCGAGTTCTTTATCTTTTTTAGTCATTCCAAGTAATAGCAAAATTAATTAATACCTAATAATAATTAATACCTGTAACTTGACACTGGCATTTTTAAAATTTTTGTTATAGGTTTGTATAAAAAAGTTAAAAAACGCGAGTTCTTTATCTTTTTTGGTCATTCCAAGTAATAGCAAAATTAATTAATACCTAATAATCTGTCTCTTATACACATCAGATGTGTATAAGAGACAGATTATTAGGTATTAATTAATTTCTGTCTCTTATACACATCAGATGTGTATAAGAGACAGATTATTAGGTATTAATTAATTTCTGTCTCTTATACACATCAGATGTGTATAAGAGACAGAATTAATACCTGTAACTTGACACTGGCATTTTTTAAATTTTTGTTATAGGTTTGTGTAAAAAAGTCAAAAACGCGAGTTCTTTATCTTTTTTGGTCATTCCAAGTAATAGCAAAATTAATTAATACCTAATAATAATACCTAATAATAATTAATACCTGTAATTTGACACTGGCATTTTTAAAATTTTTGTTATAGGTTTGTGTAAAAAAAGTTAAAAAACGCGAGTTCTTTATCTTTTTTGGTCATTCCAAGTAATAGCAAAATTAATTAATACCTAATAATAATACCTAATAATAATTAATACCTGTAACTTGACACTGGCATTTTTTAAATTTTTGTTATAGGTTTGTGTAAAAAAGTCAAAAAACGCGAGTTCTTTATCTTTTTTGGTCATTCCAAGTAATAGCAAAATTAATTAATACCTAATAATAATACCTAATAATAATTAATACCTGTAATTTGACACTGGCATTTTTAAAATTTTTGTTATAGGTTTGTGTAAAAAAAGTTAAAAAACGCGAGTTCTTTATCTTTTTTGGTCATTCCAAGTAATAGCAAAATTAAGAAGGTATTTTAGCCATTGTCTAGTAGACTAGTCGTTCTATCATCTAAAAACAAATTCAAGTCATTTAGTGCAGTTTTCAAAAACGTTATCGCGTTCCAAAAGATGTAAGAAGATTTTCATGACTGTCTGTAGGTTCAGTCGGGGACACCGAAGAAAAGTGATTGTTTGGGATGTTTTTCTCCAAAATCGTAATGATTCATCCAAAAAAAAAACGTCGCATTTAAAAAGGGCATATTTCAATGCGTGTTCCATAATTTTCTCATTGAGATATATTTATCAATCACGAAGTAGATCTTACGACGGTGGTCCTGTGTAAAAGAACTCCGATGATACGTAATCGCTCCTTGATGCATCACGATTTCGAACGGAACGGTGTAAGAACGTCTCTTTCACCGGCTCCGAGTGAATAATAGAGAGCGCGTGTGGCTCGTTCGTCCCGCTCGTTACAACGGCCGACATTATCGCCGATTTGTATCCCGAACACTCTGAATAGAATCCGCAATGATCGAACAGGTAGGACAGCCGCAGCGAGAAGCCATCGCCGTCGTGGGTTTGCGCGACCCTCCGGCCTTCGTGAGCCCCTCCCGACATTGCTCTTCTTTTCCTTTATCGGTAAGTCGAAGCGCCCGAAGGAAGTTTGCCGTGAATTATGAAGCCGGCGCCTTTATGTCAAAGAGCACGCCGCACCATACTTGACAAGCTTACGTGTGTGCTGCACAGGGCCCGAAGTTGGGCAAGTGGCGGTACAAAGCGCGACGTAAATTTTCCACGTCGTTCACTTCCATTTTGCTCGACAGCGAAGTTGTAAATGGACGCTCTGGGAACACTGTCTCGCGATAACCTGCGCCTGAATCGACGATGAGACACTGCACAGCGACAAGTCAATGTTTGCCGGCTGGTTTTGTCTACCGATAACCAACATCAATGTTTGCCTGCTGGTTTCGCGCCCACGTCCGATGGTTATTAATGGACCGAACAAATTAAGGGACTGCGGCGACGCCGCATAGCGAAAGTGCACGTTTCTCAGCACAGGAATGCGGGTCGACTTTCTCCTTAAGACAACACCGTGGAAACGAATCAGAGTATAGCTATCGAGTCTTACAAATTAGTCAATCTGTCAATATTGTATTAATTGTTTTTGTTGTTTTAGGTACTGAACGTTCTACTCTTATCTTCTTCTTCTTTGTGTAATATCTCGAGGGATCGAGTATGTCGAAAATGTAGTTCCCTTTAACCTTCCTTTTAGACCACTAATAATTACCTATTCATCTATGGCGATAATAGAATTGTAAAAAAAAATTGTTAAAAAGAAGAGAAACGTTTCTAATACATTTGGTTTCATTCGATCGAATTGTCCAAGTTGGGCCCCTTTATTATTAATGTGCAAAGTAAAAGCAATTGATTTTGACTTTTTATTTACTACTTTCATGCCAATAATAATGCAATAAACATTGGCGATCTGTGAGACTGTTAATAGTGGTTATGTAAATTGTGATAGGTGTAGTAGTTAAGAAATAGAGGATTAAGGGTTACAATTTTCCGTTTGAATATCCGCTTTACCTATTATTTGAGTTGCTTCATTCTATCGTTACATTACCAACCAAAAGTGTGTTCTGTACAAAAGTAGTCACTGTGCAATAATCACCTAAATCAGGCATCTGATTCTCACGATTTTTACGACGTGTTAAGAATAATACTAAAATCACGTGACACAAAAGCAACAATTTTTTCTCAACGAAACTTGACGTTTCCGAACGTTATATTATTAGCCATCAAACTTAACAATTTTCCCGCAACCTCTGCCCGAAGCGGCGACACATTTTGAGTCTGCTTTGTGATCGCGAGGCGCAGTTTTGCTTGCCAGAACGCGGCGAGCCGGCATAAATAATGCGAAGAATTCGAAATGACATTTTTAATGCGGTTGTGCGTCCGTCGGTCCGGGCTCCCCACGAGATCGAGTATAATTTCTGGCGGCGGTTCGCGTGTGTATGTAGCCGAAACAAGCCAAGAAACGTTTGAGAAAAAAGTATCGCGAATTGAGTTTGACGCGAGAGTAGAAAAGTTTCTCGGGCCGCGGGCGCTGCCATCGAACCGACGAGCCAGAGCAAAGTTGAAAAGTTGAATATTTTTTCATGAGTCGTGCGATTTGATGTTGGCGGCGTGCACTTAGCTATTAGCCGAGGTGTTCGCGGGCCCGAAGTTTCGGTGAATGACATCGTTAACACGGTTTCGTCCCGAAACACCGTAATTCCTGCGATACTTTGCCCGTTAACTTCAACAGTTTTTAGAGGATAACGATATTCGACGGAAACTTGCTGTATAGTATATCCTTGGATTTTGCATTTTCGGGACGGAACGGTTCATCGCTCATCACGCGGCGCGTTATTAAAACTTTACAGTTGACCGGCTGTTCTAGCGAAGCCTGCGTACAGCCACTGTTTCATTTTCCAACCAACCGAAGCCTTGATTGCGCGCATAAGTATCGTTTGATGTTGCCATTAGCGGATGTTCTTGCATTTATAGCGGATTTGCAGCAATACATTTCCTACAATTCTCACTTCTGCTCGAATACAGCGACATTTTTTAATCAAGAATTTTCGTTCCACTTACAGTTCATGCATGTAACTGATGTAATTCGAGTCCTACACGTTTGTCTTGTTTTTGAATGTTTTCCCTCTGTTTAGATACTAGATTATTACATTAAATTCTAACTAATATAATATTTACACTGTATGAACCCTTGCTTTCGAGTCTCTGAAACGCCACTAAAAATTGTGATATCGCTTTTCAAATCTAAAAAAATGGTTAAAGGTGTAATTGTTGTATGGATTCTATAAAATGGACGTACCGTATGGCAAAAAAAGCTATTTTAGAGTCAGAGTTACATTGGCTTCGAGTGGATAGAAGAGTATGGGCATTCCAGATCTCGCTGTACTGTGCGAATAAAATTGAGTGAAATGTAAGAAGAGCCGAATTGAAATCGAAGAAAATAATGTTGAATTTGAGATCAGTCCTTCGGTATTTCCTGGTGATATTGAAATCTGAGTTTGCACGTGTTCTCGTTCCCGGTTAAAGCGATCCGGTGAAACGATCAACCACTTATTTGATCGAACGCTGGAATCATTTCAATTCTTCCTGCGAATCGAATGCCGCCATTAGAAGGCCAGGGGAGAATCACGGTTATGT